ACTAAATACATTAATAAGGACCACTCATAACCGCAAATAGCATCTGATACACGCGAAATTCGAGCTTCAAACCTCTGTACATGATTGCTTGCTACGCCATCATGCATCTTCTGCGAAACGTTTCAATTTCGTTGCTATTGGCCAATCAGAAGACCGAACAGCTGATTTACAATTGCGAAGTCTGTCTGTCTGTCCCTCCCCCCCCCCCTCCAAATTTTCATGAAAATAAGGATAAATCTGGAGGCGTGTTGCTTTAAACAGAGTTAAAGTGTAAAAGCTGGCGTGTAATTTTTTGTTTTGATACATACACGTTTATTGTCAACATAACTTTTTTTCTGAAGTATACAAGTATATAAGAGACAAAATGATAAACAAATTTTAAAATAAAGTTTTTGATAGACTTTAATAAATAAATTGCCATTACATTCTTTCAATAATGGTAACATAATATATTTTGCATCACAATTTTATTAACAAAAATTAATAGTTTTACGCAGCGCTGTATTCTTCAAATTGATTTCATAGAATAGTACTGTAGTCTGTAAAGACGTCAAAATTAAGAATAATTATTAAACCTGGAAATGACTTTTTCATCAATACCTTTGTTAAATTTTGTTTGTATTTATAGCAACAAATACATAGAAAATATAAAGTTCATACAATACTTTTTATCCTGTAAGAAATGCAAATATAATACCATGGTAATAAAATATTACAATGTTAAACTGAATTAATTAAAGTATTTATATATAAAGGTAATTTACCTTTATTTTTCATATTTTATTACCTCCCTTTTATATGAATCAGTTTGGTGTAGCAGAGTTGTCGTTCGTTCTTCTCATATATGCATGTATTAGCTATGTACAGCTCATAGCTTACTAAATCCTTTTGAAAGGTTAAATACAAGGTCAAACAGGAACAGTTTTATAGTTTTATCTATAATAACAGCTCTACATTTCTATAATAAAAGTTAAAATTTCACATTTGCTATGAACGGTGGTAGTGAACTGGTGGTGGACTGGTGATGGGATCACGACAATAGGCCTTAGCCACATTTGCTCTGTACGATTCTGTTGAATTTGATTTACTGCAGTTTAGCGGCAAATATTCTGTAAGAAATGCTAATTTTGTGATAGTAAATTAAAGATATTACAATGTTTAAATACAAATTAAATTTGAAATATATCTACTTAAAAAGAAAATTCACCTTTTTATTACCTCACTTTTATATGCAAAAACTTGCTGTTTGAAAAGCACAATAGCAAGAATAAGCATTCCGGTCTAACCTATACGCTCACCGCCCCCTCACCACCACCACCACCACCACCACAACAACAACAAAAACAAATAAACAACAACAAAAGAAAGAAAGAATGAATGAATGAAAGAAAGAAAGAAAGAAAGAAAGGAAGAAAAAAAGAAAGAAAGAATAATTATAGCACAATTGATGAGATTTGGCCTAATGGTGAAGCGGGCAAAATAATTGTCAAGTTAAGAAAAAATATTTAATATACCTAACGCACACTGAATAAAAAGATAGATATAAGCACGGATTTATGTAATATAAATCCGTGATATAAGTCAGAAATTGATAAATCATTCCCTGAACAAGTGATTAAAAATAAAATTAAGCCGCTTCTCCGTGAATTATTTAAGGCACAAATTGGCACCTGGGTGGAAATACCGATGGGCAATCGCAACTACTCGGCCCTTTCCGACAGTCTTCGGATATCATAGATAATAGCCGAGGCAGCTGGCTAGCTTTCTCTCATGATAGAAAACAAACTCCCTGCTCGTGGGATTCGAACCCACGTTGGTTAGGGGCGAGTGGTTTGTCAACGACTTTAACCACTTGGCCAACAAAGCACATTATAACTCAGAAACTAATAGATGTTTACTTCTGTGGAAAGGGCTGTGGAGTATGCAAGCACTGTCTGGGACTCCCACGAGAAGGGAGACATACACCGTCTAGACATGGTCCAACGACGTGCTGCACGGTGTTAAGAACAAGTATCTCAACAGGTCCAGCGTCACAGACATGCTTGCAGACCTGGAATGGAAAGCACTACAAGAACGTCGCAAGGAGGCCAGACTGAGCATGCTCTGCAAAGTCGTCAACAACAAGGTCGCTCTAGACAACTCACAACTCATACCCTCCAACTCCACATCTACAAGAAATACACATAACCTATCCTACAATATCCCCTACTGCCGTACACAATATCGTCAACAATCCTTCTTCCCAAGCACCATCAAAGACTGGAACAGCCTACCTCCGGATGCTACGTCAGCCGGTACAGTTGAGTCATTCCGTACTCATCAGTCCCAACTCTATATCTAAACCACACTCTTGTCCGTTTTTAACCTCCACTGTATATATTCCTATTTTTACTCTTTCTTTCCCTCTTGCGCATTAACCTGGCAGTAAACTTCAGTTAGTTGAAGGTGGCCAGTATATATATTGGAAGAAGAAGAGGGCAATCATGATTTTTATAATGTTTAAATAATGGTTTCAGAGGTGCTTGTAAAAACGTACCAGAATAGAGTATTTTTGGTTGTATCCGTGAACGCACAAGGCACACTTCACATTATTTTTATTAATACAAACTACCATTCAAATTTTTAAAAACGTGTTATTCTTATGTGGTATTGTGGTATAATACTTACAAGTGTTTTGTATGGTGGCTGATTTGGAACACTTTTGTGCGTCATGTTGTCACGAGCTTTCTACGTTGATTTCTATAGTCACTCACACTATACCTCTACCCTTGCATGTACAGTAAGTTATCAGTCCTTATAAAAGTGAAGGCAAACTAGCACTGGTAACCTGTTTGACAGCCTGCCCGGTTGAATTGTGCTATGATAAATTCAATGTGGCTTACAACCGTGATTCAGTGTGAAAGCTACAAATACTATACAGGACCTGGTCAGACTGCACAAGTAAGAGTTTTCACCGTTAGCAACAAGGGCAACATTGTCGCAAGAATCGCCCGTCACAGAAGCTAATGAGAGAGATGTGGGCATTATATATGCATATAGGAGATATGCTCTGGACAATATCTGTAATATATCTGGATATATTATTATCTCTAGTGATCTTTTTATCTTAACTTTGACCCCTATGTGTGACCTTGACCTAAGCTGCGGGGACCTAAATTTTGTGCGCGATACTCCGCCTCACAATAGTGAACATGTGTGCCAAGTTATATTGAAATCCCTCTATGCATGTTGAAGTTTTGCTCCGGACAAGCATTTTTCTATGACCTCTAAGTGTGACCTTGACCTTTGACCTAGATGGCTGGTTCATGCATGCGACACGGCTTCTCATATTGGTGAACATTAGTAATAAGTTTCATAAGAATCCCTCGATATGTGTAGGAGATATGTTCTGGACAAAATCTCTATACTTTATCATCTTTAGTGGCCTTGACCTTGCATATATTAAACTAAATTACATGTTTCACACCAGTAGTCATGATAATAACCATTTCTGTTTCAATCCCTCAATAAATTATGACTCAATGGTTCAAATACACATTTTCATCTGAACTTTGACCCCTATGTGCGACCTTGACCTTGGCCGCTGGGACATAAATTTTGCACACGACACTCCACCTCACAGTAGCCAAGTTATATTGAAATCCCTCTCTGCATGTAAACGTTTTGCTCCGGACAAACGTTTTTCAATGACCTGGTTCATGTGCGCAACACGGCTGGCCGCCGGGGGTGGGGGTGACTGTTATACGACCCGTTTTTGAAACAGGCGTGTATAATAATGATGAACGGTTAACGCATCCTATTAACCTTGTTTAACGTTTAACCGACCGTTGTAATAAAATTCTTAGATTTTCAACATTTTCTTTGTTTTTATATAACATTTTGCTCGTATTTCGTTATACTCAACAATGATTACAATAAAAGTCCGATTATAAAGTATTTTTTTCCGTAAGGATAGTATTGTTCAGGATAAACTAGCATGCAATCGGAGAAAAACAAGTGAAATACAAATAGAACGTCATATATTGTCATTAAACATCTAATGAATTTGACGTATACTAACCTTGGCTACCGGTTGAGGGTTTTCTAACATGACACCCCAATTCACAACTGACGACTGACTTGGCTATATAGTGGTGACAATGGCTTATCAGATTCGGTTTCAGCAAAGTAAATTAGCAAAAAATATACACATAAAACAATGCGTCATATTTTTTCATCGTTTATTACTTCATAATACATGGTATTTTACAACAATGTTTTTTTACATCAACAAAACAACTTCTTCACAAAAAATCATACAAGAGTAACTCCGTAGATACCTGGGACATACGTTATCGTATGTCCCAGGTAGATACCCGAAGTTCATTAACATATATTTGATAAATAACCATTTTTCGCATGTTTAATTGGCTTAAGCGAAGCCGGAAGGATAAAAATCGCCTATTTTCAATAAAGAATGTCTGGTGCAGAGGACCAGTACAAAAGAAGTTCATGTAATATTTATTTCCAAAACTTTTTAGACTGTTCATAATTTCATAAGAGATAAAGCATAGAGCCTGCTAATTCTTGTAAACAACAAATACATAGAATATTTATCGTTTTTTTTTATCTTTATCGAAAAGTGAAACTGTCTCTCTTCCAGACTGGTTTAACATTATGCTACAAGTTTTTTTATTTTTAATTCCATACTGTTTGCATTGGTTTCCTGCTACAGTGAAGGTGACGTGGTAAAGTTACGTGCATAATAAGAACCGGGTAAGGTTTTTAATTATGTCAAATTAACCACGTGCACTTCATAAGATGGTTTTCCAGCTATATATAACCTGTGCATTATTTCAGAAGAAAACAAAACAAACTGACACCTGAGAAGAGCCACCAATCTTTTTTTTAAAGTGACTCTATGGCCATCTTCAAATTTCACAAACATTAACTTGTGTAACTTCATTTAAAATAAGAATTTTCATACTTCTGAAATTCTGTCTTCTCTTTAAAACTTCCACCTTTATTTTATTTCAAAAATTATATTCCATCATCAACCAAAAAACTTTGATCTTTTTTTAAATATTACAAGCATTTTCTTAACACTTCCCATCCCCCTACTACCCCCACCCCCAAGTCCATCTACACAGCCCTCTCGGCTTCTCCTGTCCGACTGTCACGTCCCGCGCTGGACTTAAACTTCCTCTCCTGCCGTTTCTAAAACAGCACCGCTGAATGATAGATCCCAGTATGATTCAACATTATGTTTTCTAAATTGTTCTCTGGCAAACGCCTCTGTTGGACACACTTTAAACTTCATCTCGCCAAATGCTCGGTTCTTTGCGGTACCCTGTTAAAGCCATTAATACTGGATTAGAAATATACTAATAATTGATATGTAAATTCAATAGATTTATTCAAAAAATTTGATTCTGTAATTACTTTGACTTCATAGTATATCCCAAATATATATAGAACATTGCAATGCCATTGAAGTATGAATGAAATGTAATGTACACATAAGTCAAGAAGTCCATTTATGAAGGTCAATGTCTAACAGTTGTATAAAAGAAATGCACAGAACATTCACAGACTATTAAAACAGATTTGATTGCATGACTGAAAAAATAGCTTTCTAAGGAAATCTGAATCATCTTAAAGACAAAACATATACAGTGGTAATCAGATCTTCATGTAAGAAATAAATAGATCTGAACTATTGTCAGATTGGAAGACCAGACAATTTTATCTATAAAGGCTTGCTTCAGTGACCATGATGTACAAAGAGATATATAAACGTAATTACAAACCTCCCACACTAGAACACATTTATTTCTAACATCGGCATCTTCAGCATCACCGTCATCTGAAAATAAAATGATTTTTCTCTGATTTGTTTTTACAGCACATCAATATATTTTATATGTGCCATATGGAAAAGATGATGTTGGCTATCCTCAGGCGTTATAAACTTATAAGCAACACAAGGCCCAGAGGTTATAAAGTAATTCTCTGAGCTCAAACTCAGATCTCAGGTATTTGATTGGTCAGAAATTGTCATAGAATGTACTCTGACCTATAAAAATCCTGAGATTTGAGACAGAACTCGGACAAGTTTTATAACCTTGAGGCCAGGTGTCAAAAACCACCTCATCTGCTGGAGCAAAGAGATGTATAGACCCCAGTATTTTGAATGTATTCATTGGCAGCTTAGGAGCAAGCAGGGATAAACAGTGACTACAATTCTGATGCCTCAATATTTAAAGGCAACCCCTCAGCTACAAGGGGGGAGTAAAAAGTTTTCATTACAGAACAAAAGACCTTTATCCCGCTCTAACCAAAATTACGCTATGGCATTATCAATGCAGTCTGACCTGGCTTTATACTGAAGGTTGGGGAACTTTAAATTTTCCTCTTTGTATAAAATAAGTGCAGCCTAACTCAGCTTTGGTTGATTGAAATTTACGTCACACCGACACAGTAAAGGTCATATCGCCAATTTCCAGCTTTACTGGTGGAGGAAATATCTCAGGTGCCCTTCCTTGCCTTATTTCTGGCACGAAAAGGCATCAACGAAGATCCAATTAAAAAAGGTTGTTTATAATAGTGCAAGGTTTACGACCAATGAAAAAGGTTGTTTCAAACATAAATCAAGATCTAAATATAGATATACCATCTTTCTTCTTTCTCTGTTTGTCTTCCTCCCATTTTATTCTATGCATCATAAGTCGCTTGAACTTCCTCTGTTGTTTAGGTCCTAAAATAAAATCAAAGCGCTGCAAGCACTGAGGTATACATTGCTTGACAATACGGTCTCTATTTGTGTTAAATAGGTCCTAAATAAAATTAGAAAAATTTAAAATATATCTCTTTTTAAAGGTCCTGTATGTTGTAATTAAGGATGTAACAAGTGTGTTTGGGTTTGTTTACCCTAACAATAAAGGATGTCACAAGTGGTAGTGGTGGTGTTGGTAGTTTTCACTCAGGATCACAGCAGTAAGCCACATTGAATTTAAGCCTATTGAGCTAACCGGCTAGGTTGTGACAACATTTAAATGAATTTATATATGTATATAATTATTCTTCTTAAACAATTTCCAAACATCAAAGAATCTGTAAGATATGTACTGCAAATTCTTGTGAACATTATATGTAATCATTAAAATATATACATTCATTTCTTATTGAAAAGAATGTATGACTAAAACTTTATCAAAAATAGATTTCTAATTACTCCTTTTAAATACATGAAATGTAAATTTGGTAATATCTATACAAAGCATGCTTTTTTGAACTGAAAATATTGATAAATCTTTATTTGAGCATTAGATTTGTAATATAAAACCGTATTGCGTCTGTTGCAAATAACCTCCCTCTACCCCAACTATTTGACAATTAATTTATCGCTCAAATTATCTCCCTCTACCACATAAATGTTACAATCTATTTATAGCTCAACTTATATCCCTCTTCCAAATCTATGTTAAAATCTATTTAAAGCTCAACTTATCTCCCTCTAGCACAACTATGTTACAATCTATTTATAGTTCCCATTACCTCCCTCTAGCACAACTATGTTACAATCTATTTATAGCTCAAATTACCTCCCTTTAGTACAAAAAATGTTTCAAACTATTTATAGCTCAAATTACCTCCCTGTATCACAACTATGTTACAATCTATTTATAGCTGAAATTACCTCCCTCTACCACTACAATGTTACAATCTATTTATAAGCTCAAATTATCTCCCTCTACCACAACTAAGTTACAATCTATTTATAGCTCAACTTATCTCCCTCTACCACAACTATGTTACAATCTATTTATAGCTCAACTTATCTCCCTCTACCACAACTATGTTACAATCTATTTATAGCTCAACTTATCTCCCTCTACCACAACTATGTTACAATCTATTTATAGCTCAACTTACCTCCCTCTACCACAACTATGTTACAATCTATTTATAGCTCAACTTATCTCCCTCTACCACAACTAAGTTACAATCTATTTATAGCTCAACTTATCTCCCTCTACCACAACATTGTTACAATCTATTTATAGTTCCACTTACCTCCCTCTACCACAACTACGTTACAATCTATTTATAGTTCCACTTACCTCCCTCTACCACAAAAATGTTACAATCTATTTATAGCTCAACTGATCTCCCTCTACCACAACTACGTTACAATCTATTTATAGTTCCACTTACCTCCCTCTACCACAAAAATGTTACAATCTATTTATAGCTCAACTATCTCCCTCTACCACAGCTATGTTACAATCTATTTATAGCTCAAATTATCTCCCTCTACCACAACTATGTTACAATCTATTTATAGCTCAACTTACCTCCCTCTACCACAACAATGTTACAATCTTTAAACAGCACAACAATCCCTGTCATGAAGAGCTGCTTTGCGTTCGTTTCTACTTTGAATTTCTTTGATGGATTACTGAGATCTTTCACCCTGAAAGGAAGAGCAGTATTCCTACTTTTACTCTACATTTTAAAAAAGGTTATATCAATGATCTCACTATCAACTTTTATACTGTTAATGATTAATTTTGACACCCTTGAAATTGATACTGGAGGACAAAAGACTTTCAAAGCAATACAATCCAATTCAACAGAAAAAAGTTTATATCATGAAACAACTAAAGCATCATTCCTGTAAAATGTGACTAATAAATATACAGTCAGGTGTTTGGATGGAGATGTTGTTTCAAGATATTGTTGATTATGAACGATGCACAACAAAGGACAGAGGGGAACCACAACTGCTAACTAGGAGCATGTTGTGCTCGGGTGAGCTCAAAAAACAGGTAAAATGTGGTACCTGTAAACTGCTATCTCAAGAAGGATCACTAAAGCACATCAAATGTATGTGCCCAGGTGAGCTAAAATAAGGTAATTTCAGGTACCTATAAAGTTAATAAACTGCTATGTTTTGGGAAATCACATAAGCTCACTATAAGTATGCTATGCTCAGGTGAGCTAAAAAAAGGTAAAATCTGGTACCAATAAACTGCAAAATGAATGGGGATCACTAAAGCACACTAAATGTATGTTGTGCCTAGGTGAGCTAAAAACAGGTAAAATCTGGTACTTATAAAATACTATGTGAAGGGAAATCACATAAGCTCACCATGAGTATGCTGTGCTTAGATGAGCTAAAAATAGGTAAAATCAGGTACCCATAAACTGATATGTGAAGGGGTATCACTACAAAACACTAGGAATATGCAGTGCTCGGGTGAGCTAAAAACAGGTACCTATAAACTGCTATGTGGACACCTAATGAAGTGTCCTCCTTTATTTTTGATATCTTCTTTTCTCTCCTCTGTTCTTTCGTTAATTTTCTGGCTGCATTTGCCTCTTCATGAGCTCTGAAAACATGGACATAAAAAAATGATGTTAAAAAATCAGACACACAAGAACTTTTATGTGTCAATAATTAGCTCATTTTGTTGATGTGATGAAGTAAAAAGAAAGAAAGAAAGAACAGGTTTTTCCCTTATATATCTTATCAAATAACAAGAGGGCCATGATGGCCCTGAGGTCGCTCACCTGTATATAGCCCCCCCCCCCCCCAACGTTGCAGGGCCAATTTAACTTAAGGGCTTTTATTTGCACAAACTTGGTAGACACCCATAAGAAGATGTTTCATGCTAAACATCTAAGGTCTAAGTCGTTGGGTTTCTTAAAAAGATTTTTTTAAGTTTTTTCTTTACACATACATTCAAAAACAATCACATACCTGGGGCAGGGCCAGTTTTGACCCCAGGGCTTTTATTTGAACTAGAGCTGTCATTGATTCAGTGCAAAGCATATCAACGATATATCGATATCAAGTGACTAAAATCAACAATACACCGATATATCGATAATATCCTATACTCACTTGTCTGTCATTCACTTCCATACCTGTTTCAATGATTTCAGTCAAAAACATGTTCTGTACAGTGTCTTGTCCACTGCATGATTTTTTCCAGACAATATTTTTTGTCACCATTGCTATGAAATAATTCCACTATATAACAAAAGCATAACATTAGATATAAATTACTGCTTCTGTATATATTTTGGGTGAATTTTATAATTTCTAGACATTTAATTTATAAGTCAAAAGTATCGATTTTTTAAAATGTGTATCGATTATTGATCGGCAAAAAAATATCAACGATACATCAATATTGTCGATATCGATGACAGCTCTAGTTTTTTCAAAGAAGATTTTAAGTTTTTGCTATACACATATAAAGAAAATCAATGACCCCCGGGGCGGGGCCAATTTTGACCCCAGGTCTTTTATTTGAACAAACTTTGTAGACACTCACTAAAAGATGTTTCATGCTTAATATCTTAACTCTAGCTATTTGGGTTTTTTCAAAGAAGATTTTTTAAGTTTTGGCTATACACATATAAGGAAAATCAATGACCCCCGGGGCGGTGCCAATTTTGACCCCAGGGCTTTTATTTGAACAACTTGGTAGACACCTATTAGAACATGTTTGATGCTAAATATCTTAGCCATAGCTCTTTGAGTTCTTTAAAAAAACATTTTTAAAGTTTTTACTATATGCATATAGGGAAAATCAATGACCCCCCTGGGGCGGGGCCAATTTTGACCCCAGGGCTTTTATTTGAACAAACTTAGTAGACACTTATTAGAACATGTCTTTCATGCTAAATATCTTAGCTCTAACTCTTTTGCTTCTTTAAAAGAAGATTTTTTAAGTTTTTACTATATGCATATAGGGAAAATCAATGACCCCTGGGGCGGGGCCAATTTTGACCCCAGAGCTTTTATTTGAACAAACTTGGTAGACACCTATTAGAACATGTTTGTTGCTCAATATCTTAGCCATAGCTCTTTGAGTTCTTTAAAAGAAGATTTTTTAAGTTTTTACTATATACATATAGGGAAAATCAATGACCCCCGGGGCGGGGCCAATTTTGATCCCAGGGCTTTTATTTGAACAAACTTGGTAGACACCCATTAGAACATGTTTCATGCTAAATATCTTGGCTCTAGCTCTTTGGGTTCTTTAAAAGAAGATTTTTTTAAGTTTTTGCTATATGCATATAGGGAATATCAATGACCCCCCGGGCGGGGCCAATTTTGACCCCAGGGCTTTTATTTGAACAAACTTGGTAGACACCCATAAGAACACGTTTCATGCTAAATATCTTAGCTCTGGCTCTTTGGGTTCTTTAAAAGAAGATTTTTTAAGTTTTTACTATATGCATATAGGGAAAATCAATGACCCCCCCGGGGCGGGGCCAATTTTGACCCCAGGGCTTTTATTTGAACAAACTTGGTAGACACTCACTAGAAGATGTTTCATGCCAAATATCTAAGCTCTAGCTCTTATGGTTTTTTAAAAGAAGATATTTAAAGTTTTTTCTTTCGGTTGCCATGGCAACCAGAGTTCTGCATGGAATTAAATTCTTTGAACAATTTTTAAAGGTGACCACCAAAGGAACATTCCTGTGAAGTTTGGATGAAATTGGCTTAGTGGTTTATGAGGAGATGTCATTTAAAGTAAAAGTTTACGGACGGACGCCGGACGAAAAGAGATCACAAAAGCTCACCCTGTCACTTTGTGACAGGTGAGCTAAAAACCAATATACATGTATGAGCCTAATTTCTTAGGCAGTGAATTTTTCAATGCGAATAAAAGATTTTACATGGTCTGAATAGAATAATTCATGTACGTATTACCATACATAAGTTGTAGCCCTATGATTATTTGACACCTTTGATCTCAAAATATTTTTCACACCTTTTCTGGCATCTTGTTAACTATTTGTAAACATTTATAGCTGAGGAAGACGTCAGGTGCCCTTCCGTGCATTATTTCAGGCACGAATGGGTACCTGAGTAGAACCACCGACGTTCTGTAAGCTAGCTTGCTCACATTAGAGAATCCAAATTCCCTGTCGGGATTCGAACCCACAGCGGTGAGGGGCAAGTGGTTTGAAGTCAATGACCTTTACCACTCGGCCATTGACGCCCCAGATTTGGAGATACCAACTTGCAAAAACTTAACCAAAGTGAGATGTCAATGTCAACATGAATACAACAGCTTTCCCTATTCTTCAATTATGATTGTGTGCAATGAGCTAAAACAAATTAGAGAGCAGCGAAATAAGCTTAAGGGTAAGCGAGTCTTACTTTTGTCTTTTGGCCATCTGTGCTCGAACATGGGCTTCAACCTTAGTAGGATCCTGAACGGCCTCTGAACCAAGCACCCGCATCAGGTTGGCCATTCTCACTGAAAAAGTTTGTGTTTCAGATAAAAGTTTTAAATACACACATACTGTAACAAAATGAAGAATATCAAACCTTCAGAAGATAAATTCATTCAGAAAAGTTAAATTATTTCCATTTTCACTTTCAGTTATGTTGAATTCATAACTTTTGATTCTCATATATATTTCACTAACATTTATTTTCAAGACACTCTTTAACTCACTAAATTTAATCTTTTGCAAAAGTTTAAAAGTAAAAAGATAAGAAAATGAATGGTTAAGAAGAAATACAAATCAATTTAGCATAATAACACAATGACAAAATCAAACCTTTGGGTTCCATAGGCGGGGCTAAACCAAGTCGTATTTTCTCCTGAAGTTCTTTCTGAGCCTCTGTCCTGTTTTGTCGCCGTAATTTTTTTCGTTCTGCAGCAGTCAGATACACAGGAACAGCCGGGGGCTTATCTGGCTCGGCTAAATAAAGAAATTTTTAGACTGGTTAAATAATTTCATATCAAAATTAATTCAAAGTAATAAAAGCCTGGTTCAAGCCCTTTCAACAAAATCAGACTGGTTTTGAACATAACTTTTATAAATAGACTGGTTTTAAGTAAATAAACAAAAAATAGACTGGTTACTGAATATTTTACAAACTTTCTGATATATTCACCTTCTAAATAACAACAGACTGGTTCAAGACTTTAGCTTAACAGACGGATAATTTCATCTTTTCATGAATCTATGCTAAAAATTTACCTGGAGGTTTCATTTGAATTGGATGCTCCACAAGATGAGTTACACCCTCCAATCGGGCTTTCAAATCCTCATTCTCCGAAAGAGCATCATACCTTCACAATAGATATAAACTTATTATCATTTTACATACTATAATTAGTAATAAGTTGCATCATTATTTTGTGTGGCAAAACTCCATGACAATTGAGCTCAGATATCGAATCTATGATTCAGAAATAATCAGAAATTAATAGTCAGCAGGGATCCACTTAAAAACCCTAAAAAAGTGTCCCCTTCCTCAAGGGACAAAATATTCTGGTTCAACAGCATACATGTAGGGGGAACAACAAACAGTCAAACTTTGTTCGGATACCCTGTGGTGGGAAGTGTGATTTTCACTTTATTTCTGCCAGAGGTGTGATTTTTACTATATTTCTGCTGGAGGACCCAGAAATCAGGTTCCAGCGATCGGTGTTCGAGTGATCGCAGGTAGAAAAATACATATTATATAGGAATTTTGCCTGGACTGGGCGATGAGTTCGAGTGAATGGATGTATTCGAGCAATCCGAGTTCGAGCAAATGAAGTTCAACAGTTGCTGTATAATTATTGACAAAATCTGAATCAAAGAACTTTAAAAATATTATATGCATCTAATTGAAAGTCTATTATCTAATTGATATATCCATTACACAAACTCGAGTACTTGATGAAAGGCCAAATATACCTGGTTACCATAACCAATAAATAAATTATTTATGTTATAATGTGCGTAAAGAAAATGAAGAACAATTTGAATAGCTTACGAGTCAATTTGTCTCAAAATATAGGCATCCCACCATTCTATGTCTGGAATTTCTCCTTCAACCTTAAAAAATAACAATCCAATTATACCATAAAACTTTCAGTCATATAAGTACTATAACAAAATAGCCATACAAAGATGATAAAGTTAATCTATTATTGTAAAGGACACAATAACTTTATTAAAACATTTACTATGATCATCCTTGAGTAAAATATATTAATCACAGAAATTTATCAAAATCTATGAAATATTCACTGAATACAAAAAATGTATGTCTAATATGAACAAGTGTCAAGAAGACAGGACACGAGGCCTATCGATTTAAGTGCCTGTCTCTCAAGAAACTAACATGCGTTCCACATTTGTCGTAAACATAATACCACTTTTTCGCGAACATAATTCAACACGAAAGAATTATGGTAATGTGTTTGCCTCTAAACCAATGAACATGGGTTCAACTTTGGTTGTGAACATAAATCCACTTTAGTCTTGATCAAAATTCCACTTTAGTCGTGAACACGATGCCATTTTATTTTTACGAACATAATTCCACTTTTCCATTTTCAACATAATGTAACACAAAGAACTATTCACTTAAACCTTTATCACAATATAAAAAATTAAGACATACCAGTTCCTTCTTCGGTGCTATGGTTGCGAGTTTCGCAGCAGACGCAATCCCAGTTTTCTTGGCAGCATGGCTAATCTCACTCTGTAATCTGTCTAGTTGTGCCTATTTTTAGAAAATTACATCATCATTATGTCATTCTGTTACTAAATATAGCATTACTTTGTTTCAGTTTCATAATGGTGCAAATTGTTCAGAATTTTGTTTCGTTACTTAATATAGCATTAATAAGTTTAACTTTCATAAAGGGTGACCTTTGAAATTTATTTGGAATTTTATTTCATATCTTGACACTCTTCTGTTATACATATAGGGAGATTAAAAAATTCATCAACAAGCTTTATCTTCTGCACAGAGTAAGTAAAAATCTAAGCTACATAAAATAAACCACTGCTATCAAATGAATACATTAAAATGAAAGCTATGGAAAGTCATTACTGTAACAAATACAATACAAGTTATAGAAAGCAGATTTTCTAATATTAGTAATTAAAGCTATGGAAAGCCATAACTGTAAAGTTCATAAATCAAAAGTTTGTTTGTTTGGTAGGCATATACGTCACACCAACACAGTATGGGTCATATGATGACGTACGACTTCCAAACGGGCACTTGAGTAGAACCACTAATGTTCCGTAAGTTAGCACATGACAGAATTAAGTCTCTGCCTGGATCTGATTGGCAATTGGTTTGAAGTCAATGACCATTACCACTCGGCAACAGATGCTCCTTAATCAAAAGCCATTAATGTAATGTTCATAATAAAAGTTATGGAAAGCCATACTGTATTGCTCATAAAACATGTAATGGTCATAATGAAAGCTATGGAAAGCCATTACTGTATTGTTAATAAAACATGTAATGGTCATAATGAAAGCTATGGAAAGGCATTACTGTATTGTTTATGAAACAAGTCATTAATGTAATGGTCATAATGAAAGATATGGAAACTCACCTTTGTCCTCAATCTCTGTGCTAGTTGTTCGAACTTTCCTCTTTCATGGAAACGGAAGCCTCTTTTTTGCCTCTGCGCACCCATTAAACTGTTATATGATAAACATTAAAATTTTGAACAATAAATTTTGTAACTAAAAGTCACATGACTAAAGACAAGTATCACAAATCTTCAAAAAAAAAATAAAACTTTCAAAAATATAATTGCATTCAAATTTGAGAAAATAAGTAAAATAAATCCAGAATTTGAGAAATTGAATTATTTTTATCACAAAACTTCTTTTTGTGAATAGACTAACTCTGGAATTAATAATATTTGGATTTTTCCCAGCTAATAATGTAGGTACAAACAAACTTTTACAGTTAAAGCCTCGAAAATAAGCAAAACAGGTTGATTAATCTATTGTGGCGGGTAGTGCACCGTGAAGCTTTAACGGTAAAAGTTATTTTATACCTAGATAAGCTGGGAAAAACACACATTTGCCGAGTTCTGGATAACGTCTATTGACAAATCCAAAAATTTACTCTACTGTAAATTTAAAAACAACTTGTCATTAAATTCTACCCTTGCATGATTCGCCTACATTTCATAATTCAAAATGTCTGAAATTTTTAATTTGCCGACTTTTGGACATGCAGAAATATCCACTTATACAGAATGGCATACATAAAGTTATACATTTGCATACTATATATTGAATAAGTGCAATGGAAATTTCATACAGAAGCATTCCTAAGATAACAAGTGTAGAAATATTGGCAAGAGGACAAACTGACTCCAGTACCCATAGTTAAGGTTTTCCTCAGCGAAGGGAAATAAGCTACACAGTTTCAATCTTCAGTGTTAATTGAGTTGCTCCCCTTGGCAAAATAATTATTTATCACTCTGTATTTCCCTATATTAAATGCACATTTTTTTGTCCTTAAATGTTGCCCAATACTTCATCTTGGTGATATTCTTTTCCAATACAAAACTGTATGGAAAATTTATCTTCCTGAAGCTGGTGCTATGGGGCATAAGAAAACGTTGCACTTTTAGATAAACCAAACTATGTCTTCAATTTTTACATTTTGTTAACATGGCTCATAACGGATCTCCACTGGTCCTGATTTTATTTTTAGAAATTAAAATGTCCCAATTTTAAAGACCAATTCTTACCTAACACGCGGATCAAAATATTAGAATTTTAAAGACCAGATCTTACCTAACACGAGGATCAAAATATTTGAAATTTAGAGACCAGATCTTACCTAACACGCGGATCAAAATATTTGAATTTTAAAGACCAGATCTTACCTAACACGAAGATAAAAATATTTGAATTTTAAAGACCAGATCTTACCTAACACGCGGATCAAAATATTTGAATTTTAAAGACCAGATCTTACCTAACACGCGGATCAAAATATTAGAATTTTAAAGACCAGATCTTACCTAACACGAGGATCAAAATATTTGGACGCGCTGATCTCTTCCGGTGGTGCGTCTATTAAACCTTTAAACTGTTCTCGTCTTTTAGCTCGAATGTTTGCCTATAAATAGATATAATAATAAGTTAATGCATAAATAACAAGTTTTGCTTGTTTTCAAGGTAAATTCATATAACTATCACAACATTTCTTTGAGACTTACCTGTAATCACCAATAAAATTTTTGGTGGGTGGTGGTTTGTAAACTGTCTATTTTTTTTACCGGCACTATGCATGTCATTAAATCATTTTCAAGCATATTTGCAGCAAATTTAAGCACTTTTTAAGCACTTTTTTAAGAGAGTAATCAAATTCAAGGACTTTTAAGCAATTTTTTTATAATTTTAAAGCACTTTTTAAGAAAGGGACTCAAATTTAAGCATTGTTTAAGACTGTATAAATGAAAATAGTCAGTACCTTTAATGTAGGCGCATGATGGGTCAGGGTAATGGCTTGCCCAGTCTTTGCATCAATGGTTCGCCCCTCGCTGTCCAAAATCAGTGGTGTCGGACTGAAAAAAAAGAAAGACAACGGCCTCTGTTAACCTCTGTAATACAGGAGATAAAAAGTGACGGAACCTAAGCCCGTCATATTAGATATTTACAGAGAACAGGTGTGTGAAGTTTCAACATTCTCCCTTCTGTAGTTTTCAAGATGGTAAATTGCACGCAAAAATTTTAAACGGTTACACTGACCAAATGGACAGTACAATAGCTCACCCTGTTCACTAAAAATCAATTATAAGCTTCATTTATCAATAGCTCTGAAAGTGTAACTCAAAATAAATTACAATTTTATAGTGAAATTTTCAAAGGGATTCTTTCAGAAACTTAAAATTGCTGCATAATCTTTCATCATAAATTAAATTCATACTTACTTTGAAGATGGAGTCGATTTTCTGGAAGAACAAAATATAAAAGGATTGTTAGAGTAAAATGACCAACAGTGTACAAAATAATCAACAAAATTACAAAATAAACATATTAAGTTTTCAGACAAACATATGCAAATGAATACAAATCAAATTTGGAATAACTCTGCCATAAAATATTATCAAACTTACAAAATATATTATGTGCCACAGGAACTTGGGTGAAAAATAGTTCAAAGAAGGGTTTCCATGATTGTTGACATATCCTTTTATCCTTCTACAAATGTAGAAGTTGGGCACACACAAAAAAATTTGCCTCCAATACCAAATTATACCAACTACTTAAAATGCATAAGAAGTAAATGATATATATATTATTTTATTTCATTTATATGGCCGACTAGTAACTTTTTGGAAATTCAACGGTAAAATATGAAAACATACGTTCTTACAAGGGCTTAATGGGTCATTAAGAAATTCAACAAAATTTAAGATTAAATAAGAAAACATAATTATTCCAGGGGTTGAAAAGGCCTTTCAGAAATTCAGCATAATTGCGTAACTAAGAAAACATACATTAATTCAGGGGTTGTAAAGTCCTTTTAAAAATTCAACAAAATTTTGTCATTAGGATAACATACAATTTTCTAGGGGCTTACGGGTCTTTAAGAAATACAAAAAAAAAAACTAGTTCTATATCACCCTTTTTTCTTCGAAAAAGGCGGGTGACAATTCAAGGCAAAACTTACGTTTGAGCTTCGACAGCTTTCTCGCCTAATGATTTGACGGGCGGCATTCCCTTCATAGGTGCTGGTAGTCCAGTTAGACTGGCCATTCGTGCCTGAATCTGTGCCTGTAACTCATTTGCTCTTTTTGCCTTTTCTTTGGCATCATTCATGAACTTTTGGGCCTGAAAATTAAAAAACATCAAAAATTTGAGAACCAAAAACACACAAAAAAAAAAAAAAAAAAAAAGGCTGAAGAGAGGCCTTTTACCTAGCATGATAGTAAAAAAAAATTATTTGCCACATTTTATCTGAGTGTCTTCATTCTGGGGGGAAAAAATCTGGCAATATACATGTGTTATCATTCTGAAAATACAAAATGTGTTATCATTCTGAAAATCCAAAATGTGTTATCATTCTGAAAATATAAAATGTGTTATCATTCTGAAAATATAAAATGTGTTATCATTCTGAAAATACAAAATGTGTTATCATTCTGAAAATACAAAATGTGTTATCATTCTGAAAATACAAAATGTGTTATCATTCTGGAAATAAATCACACCAGTGTAGAAGGTCAGTAATTATCACACATAGACATATTTATAGACCATTAGAAAACACAATTTGTGCATTTTGATCAGACTGTTTTACCATTAAAATTTTATGGACAAGCTTGACAAGTCGCGGTGGTTTTGGTGGTTTTTACCCCCAGATCACATCTATGAGTAAGCCACATTGAAATAATCAGAGCACAGTTCAGCCAACACATCGTTCTTTGAACTGGCCTGCCAAGTAATTTACTAGAACCAGTTCAGTTGCCTGGAACTGATAACTTCTGTACATGCTATTGCACAGGTTCAGTTAGAGAGGATTTGATGTCCAATCACAAAGAAAAATGACATTCACCATCCAGCCCCGAGTTACATGTTTCACATTTTTCCCAGGCCTAAGCTTTATCTGACAGTCATAGGTTCTTGCCCATTATATAATGGGTGTCAAAAATAGTTAGTATAATCTTTGCTTTTAATTGTTATGTTCATCAAAAGTAGACAAAATATATATATAAACTAAATATTATAACTTTAGTGCAAGTTTAAAGAAGTGTACATATATATCTAAAACACATCTGCTATTACAAAGTATGTTAAATTAAAGTTTTATTCCTGAAACTAATAAATATACCTCTCTGTTTGGAATAAAATTAAACTTTTGTACATTTTTATTACCTCCCTTTATATTCAGTTTTCTATTATGCATATCAATAATTGATTTTAGTTTATTATTTATTTATTTTTACTATCCATACTTCAAACCAACATCTTTAATAGACAAACCCATATCTGGACGAAACAATTAATCACAGATTTATTTGATGCTTATATTTATATGAAAATTGAAGTACTGTTGTGGGGTAAAAAAGACACATGCTTTCATACCTCAAGAAGTACCAGTTTCTATTTTTCATAAATAATTTTTGTAGTACAAAGGTTAATTGTTAGGTCTTTGAACCAAACTTTGATTAGGACAGATCAAAATTTAAACCAAACTTTGTTTAGGACGGGTCAAAATATTAAACCAAACTTTGTTTAGGACACTTCAAAATTTCAAACCAAACTTTGTTTAGGACAGGTCAAAAAATTTAAAAATACACATAAGTTATCATTTTCACATGAAACTTTCTGGATTTGTCACAACGAACATCTTCATGGTCTACTCAAATTTGTTCTTATAAAAATAATGTGATGCAAAATAATCTTATCTTGACCTTTTTCATGAAACCACGGAAATAAGTACTCAACGAATAATAATGCTTTTGCACAAACAACTGAAAACAAAATGAATTTCCTTACTCTAAAAATTATCAAAATTACCTTATAACTAATTTCAAACTATTTCCCAAAATTAACATTGTGATCATCAAATGTAGAATAGTACAGTCTACTGAATAGATTTTATCCAGACACGGGTGCCCCCACCGCGCCACTGTTCTGTCAATCTTTTTACTAAGTCAAGGGAAATAACTCTACAAAAATTTGATAAATCCACAAGCGAAACCCCAGGTGCAAATCTAAAATATGCTGAGCAACCTGCCCATAAGGTTTAATGACTATGTCAAATCCAAGTTGAAAATTGCAAAATTTTCTAAGTGAAGGGCAATAACTCTAAAAATACTAAATAAATCCAGACGAAAATACCTGGTGCACAACTGCACATGCTGATCAATATTTCTGTAAAGATACATAACTCTAGGTCAAATACTTTTTGAGTTACGTGCGACACATGTTGAAAGTTGCCAAATTATACTAAGTCAAGGGCAATAACTCTGAAAATACTAAAAATATCCAGATGAAAATACCCAGGTGCACAACTACATATGCTGATCAACATTCCTGTAAAGTTTCATGACTCTAGGTAAAATTCTTTTCGAGTTACGTGCGACACAAGTTGAAAATTGCAAAATTTTACTAAGTCAAGGGCAATAACTCTGAAAATACTAAAAATATCCAGAAGAAAATACCCAGGTGCACAACTACACATGCTGATCAACATTCCTGTAAAGTTTCATGACTCTAGGTCAAATATTTTTTGAGTTACATGCGACACAAGGCTGAAAATTGCAAAATTTTACTAAGTCAAGGGCAATAACTCTGAAAATACTTAATATATCCAGACGAAAATACCCAGGTGCACAACTAAACATGCTGATCAGCATTCCTGTAAAGTTTCATGACTCTAGGTCAAAAACTTTTTGAGTTACATGCGACACAAGTTGAAAATTGCAAAATTTTACAAAGTCAAGGGCAATAACTCTGAAAATACTAAAAATATCCAGATGAAAATACCCAGGTGCACAACTACACATGCTGATCAACATTCCTGTAAAGTTTCATGACTCTAGGTCAAATACTTTTTGAGTTACATGCGACACAAAAGTGAACGGACGGACGGACAGACAAGGGTAAATCTAAATGCCCGCCACTAACGTCACACCGTACAATCAAATGGGCAGACAGCTGTTCCAGCGTCCACAGCTGTACCAGTATATACATGTTTGTGCGGGGAATACAATTGACGTACGATAAGTATTCATCTATATTTAACATATCCGAACTGTGTTCGAGTAAATCAATGTTATGGATTCATAGTCAACATCCAAAGAAGCATGCTAACAAATTTCTGGCCATGTGCAAGCTTTACTTCACATGAATTTAGACTGAAAAGAACCACACTATCTAATGAGATGCGGTATTTTTAGTTTGAAGTCACAAAAACTTATATTTTCTCATGATAATTAATCCTTTTTTCATATGATTCGTAAACGTCAACATTTTGTCATTAAATATTCTAAACCATACCTTCAAAAAAGCTTTTCTGTTAAAGTTATAAGGTATTTAAGTTTGAGTGTCATCAAAATTTTAGTAACGTCATCAGCTGTTCGCCTCTTTTTAACGCTAACATCGACAGCAATTCATCGGCAAGGATGAATAACGCTGAAAACTGTTCAAAGAAACAATTTTCAGCGCTTTTGTCCTACAATCACTAGGAAAAAGTAAAACTTTTTTGTTCATTTAAAATATTACTTTATTCATGATACTTTCTAATTATATCATTTTTATTATTACTTTCTATCATTTGGTGTATCTTAGCTGAGAGGCCTATATCTCCATTAACTGCACTGTATTTCAATATTGATATTGTTCATATGAATAAATGAGTGAGTGAATGAATGAATGAATTAATTAATAAATGAACGAATGAATGAACAAGCGAACAAATGATGCAATATTCGTATATTTTAAAACAAATTGTCTGTAGAAAGTATATGAGTTGTAATATTCTAAAAATTACATAATATTATACATTCATTTTTCCTCCTATGCATGTCCTGTTGTTGTTGTTGTTTTCAATTTCAGAAGGCTACATTGGAAATTAGATATATATGATTGTTATTGTATGTTAATAATGTATAACTTTCTTTAAATAAAGATAATTATTATTTTTATTATTATTATTATTATTTTAATTATTATTATTATTATTATTATTATTATTATATAAAAAGGAAGCAATATCTATTAATATGTTTCTGAAATGTTAAATTCAAAGAAAGTAAAGACAAATTTAACGCAAATTTATAAGCCTAAAAACATGAAATTTTATTTTTTCACATAAAAAACATGAGCACTAAAACATAAATATTAATAAAATATAACCAAGAAATATAGGAGAAATACATTGAAAATCATATGTCTTTTCAATTTTGGGTCAATTTTTTCACTTTTAAAATATTCTGGAAAAACGGAGCAAGTTAATGATCGAAAATTTTGCATGTAAGTTATTAGTATAGATCTACATCAAATAGAGAAATAATCTCAAAAATTATTTCCAGTCCCGTCATGTCAAAAAACCTTAGTGGAGTCCCTTTAATAGGTTTTTCTACCGTTTTATATTGAAATACGGTGCGGTAAATGGAGATCAAGGTCTCTAACCTAAGATATAACAAATAATAGAAAGTAATAATAAAAAGAATATAATTAGAAAGTATCATGAATAAAGTAATATTCTTAATTCACAAAAAAGTTTTACTCTTTCCTAGTTACTGTAGGACAAAAGCGCTGTGGTAAATACATGTAATTGTTTCTTTGAACAGCTTTCAGCGTTATTCGTTCATGCCGATAAATTGCTGTCGATGTTATCATTAAAAAGAGGCGAACAGCTGATAACGTTACTAAAATTTTGATGACACACAAAGTTAAATACCTTATAACTTTAACAGAAAAGCTTTTTTGAAGGTATGGTTTTGAATGTTTAATGACAAATTGTTGACGTTAACGAATCATATGAAAAAAGGATTAATTATCATGAGAAAATATATGTTTTTGTGACTTCAAACTAAAAATACCGCATCTCATCGGATAGTGTGGTTCTTTTCAGTCTAAATTCATGTAAAGTAAAGCTTGCACAGGACCAGAAATTTATTAGCATGCTCCTTTGGATGTTGACTATGAATCCATAACATTGATTTACTCGAATACAGTTGGGATATGTTAAAAATAGATGAATACCTTCCGTACGTCAAATGTATTCCCCGCGCCGACATGTATATACTGGTACAGCTGTGGACGCTGGAACAGCTGTCTGCCCATTTGATTGTACGGTGTGAACGTGGGGGCACAAAAAC